TCACCTGTCCTTTTTCCTTTGTTTTTTCCTTGTTTTCACTCGGGAGGTCCTGATTCGTTTCAATCTAGCCAAAATGCACCAATTGTGGAAGCTCATTGGTAGAATTCTCTTATGACAGAAAGAAGGATTCTTGAACACAATTCACATAATTTTATCCTCCGGAGGGGGGAAACATTTATTTAAATTCTGAATTCCTACTGCTGTCTTCAACACTTCATATGTTCAGCGCTACATCGCCAGACATCTCAGTTTTCCCCCAACTCTCATTTAATCTAAGGCTGTTTTATAGTCTCAATGCACATGCACAACAGAATATTATGTCAAAATCTTACTGGAATTCACGTGTGCCTTTCAAAGCCAGAGGGTGCTCTGACACTGGACAGAATGTTTATACAGCCAGAGGTTGCTCTGACACTGGAAAGAATGTTTATACGGACGTTCTCCGTTTATGCCAAAACCTCTAAATATATCATCTAATTGCATACGAATCAGCCATTAAGGACCTTATTATTGCTAAGACTCCTACTTGACCTTCAGAATGTACTGTTTTGTTGCTTAGTAAGTATAGGGCCATGAAGGAGGCCACCTGCGCACTTAGAAGCAGACCAGCAGACCGGAGGCCTTTAAAGATGGACTTGATTGCTGATTGGCTTAAGTGGAGTTGTGGTTCAAAGCTGATTGATTGAGTCACAGGTGAGCGCAATTTGTTTCTTCAGTTGAACTTCCGCCTAGGCTCTATTAAGGGAAATGAAGTGGCAGACAGGATGGTTAAGGAGAGTACAAGTAAGGTAAGGATAAATATTAATGTTAGTGTTAGTACAACAGAAATCAAGGGTATAATTAAATAAGAAACAAAAGAGAGGTGGCAAAAGTTATGGGAAGAAGAAAAGAAAGGAAAGTGGTTCTTTAAAATCCAAAAGAGAATTGGACAAATGAGAAGAACAGAAAGGAACAGGAGAGAAGAGATAATTATTTCACAACTTAGAATAGGACACACAGGATTAAATGGGTCATTATTTTTAATACGGAAACATCAGACAGGGGAATATGACTGGGGGGAAGATACAATGGTGGAATATGTTATTTTGAGTTGTAGGAAATATTTGATTCAGAGAAAGAAGTTAATTATGAAACTCAGTAATATGAAAATTAAACTTGACATTGTTAAGTTTACTGCAAAAGGAATCAGGAAGCAGAGGATATCAGGTTATATTTGAATTTTTGAAATAGATTAAATTGTATAACAGGATATAGTTTTTTTGGGGGGGGGTTTGCCTTGGGGTCCACATTCTTTACCACCTAACGTTTTTGCCAACCGCCATAAAAATTTCAAGAAGAAGAAGAAGAAGAAGCATGGTCTAAGCTGTGTTATTCCATGCCACAACTCAAGAGGGACAATCATAAATTGACAGTGGGTCTAGATACGGCTGAGGAGGTGTGTTACGGTCACTAAGACCACTAAAGGGAATTTACCCTTTAGTGGTCTTAAGGGTGGGGGTTGTAACAAGGTGAGGAAGTGGGGGCAAGTTTTGTGCGATAACAGAGGGACATGAGGGCAAAAAAGAGTGGGAATCCAGGTGGAAAAAGGGTCCCAGCCTTTGCTCTTATTGCTGGTCCTGCTTCACGAGTCATTTTCCACAACGGCGGTCATACAAACTGTGGAATCAAAGTTTTTTCTTGGCCTATTTTGTGTGATAAAATGTATGTTTGAATAGGAGTAATGATAAAGAAATCCTGTACCATTCACTATGCTGTTTAGGGGGACAGAAAGCAGATGCCTCCCCTCCCTACTCTAGGCAAGGGTGAAGGGAAGGTCATGAGAAATAATGAGTTCACAAGGCCTCCTTCATGCTATGGTTAAAATGTATGCCCTTCTGGGGTGAACGAGAAATGTTTATCTGAGCATATTTATGTCCTTTGATGAACTAAAGTGTTGGGAACATTCAATGTTCAGATATGTCTATGGTGTGGATTCTTTTTATATGCAGGGGAGGGATGCTACAGCCTCAGAGCTACACTGGGAGCTGTACACAGCTGTTTCGTGTAGTTCTCCTCTGCAGAGTAAAATAAAACCTTTTCTTACTTGCATATCAACTCTCAGTGCTCATTTTTATTCCACAAAACTAAACAAGCCGGTAAGTAAATAAACATATAGTGTAGAGCGGATGTAGATTTGACCAGAGGCCTTCTATCTGCGGCACTGTCTGCGGTCACCTACAATTTTGAAGAGGTGCACCAGAGTGTCTTCAGAAGGGATGAGGGCATATTTGCGTTCACTGCGACACACACTCAGACGACCTGGTTTCTGAGCATTAACCAACCTTTAGCCTTGCTCCATGCAGTTAGCCAAGCCTTCTTGCTAAACCTGACTCCTCACACCCCGGTGAACATCTTTACCAAATGCTCCCTTCTTGGAGGTGTTTTAGGTTTAAATGACCAAAACAACACTGCAAAAACTATCCAGAAATAAATTAAGATTTCCTTAAATAAAGTGTATTTACCCTTATTTTGAGCAGGTAAATATGATGATCTGCAAAGGAATGAGTGTTTTTACTCTTAAAATAAGATAATTAGATAATATGGACTTTAAATAAGACAGTGCGACTGATTTTTCTTATTTTAAATGTAAACTGTCTTGTTCCTTCGCCAGTGTCTCACTTATCTCCTAAATTTAGGATAAAATGCACTTATTTTAAGAATAAATTACTTATTTAGATTTCCATTTTTTGCAGTGGAACCGACAGAAAAACTGCTTCATTTTAAGAGCTGTTGTTGCTCTGAACCCCTCTGTAATTATCAACAGTCACAAGAACAGTCAATACACTCTGTGCAATTTCTACAAGTGCAATATATAAGTGCAATATTCTCATGTGCAATACCGCAATTGTTGTACATTGTTGTAGATATTCTTGTATATATATTTTTATATATTTTTTTGCCAGCACTCTTTTGCTTTATATTGTTTTGAGCTGCTAAAAATGCAGTTGTACCCGTGAGGAACAATGGCAAATAAAGACTTCTGATTATTGAAAAATTTGTCTTTGAACAGTTAGATGCCTTCTTAACAAGGAAAAGCTCCTTTGATGTCTTCCATTAGGGTTTTTATGCCAACCACATTACAAAGACTGCCCTGATTAAGATGTTCAATGACATCTGTATACGGTAAATTCAGACTTCTGCAAAAACCACAGTGCTGGTATTATTGGATGTCAGTGCAGCATTTGATACTGTTAATAACTTGATTTAATAGAGCATCTGGAAACCTGGGTCAGCCTTTCTGGTAACATATTGGATTGTTTTAAATCCTTCATTAAGGACAGGGACTTTTATGTGTCACTAGGGAACTTTACATAAGACACCAGAAAAGTCAAAAGTCATTTTTCTGTGCTTCTGAATATCCCTTAACTTAGATCAGAGCAAAGAAACTCCATAATATCTATGCAACCTAGTTTTTGGTTGTCTTTGCTATCCTACAAAGGTGTTAAAGTCTTTAAAGTGTCTCTTTTTCAAATAAAATAAACTGTATTTTAAGAAATTTGATTAAAAAAAAATACATACAACTGACAGAAATAAGGCATATCGAATCAAACTAAATTGTCCAAGTCTGGATAAATGCTTCATCAATCTCTCAATAATTCATATATAAATATATGCTATTTTATTACAGCATCTTTTGAGTTGATACAGTTTGGCCAATATTAAGAGAACAATCTGTGGAGAAAAAGATCAACAGTTTAATCTAGTGAGCCATTTATGGGTTTGAATGCATAAGATTGTATTTTTTTATTTTATATTTTTTATCAAGTTTTATTTTTTTTTTTAAGTTTAATCCAATTATAAAAAAATCTTTGCCACTTTGTTACTCTAGCCCTATATTCATAAAATCATAGCATTTTCTGTTTTCTGAATTAAGACAAAAATGACACAATATAAAGCCTTACTTTGAACACTTTTTTAGAAAAAATGAGTGAGGCAGGAAATACAGTGAATCGTTGGCATTGGTGTAAAATTACCACACTTCTTCCTGTCTTTTTAGTATCACAGAGTCTAAGGAGTTGTGTGAAGATGCTTCTGTTTTGGGTTATGCTACATGTTCTTCTTTATCAAAGAAGTAAGTGTATTTTTCTCTAACTATAAAACATGATTTACCATTTCATATGTTACATATAACCCTGTACATCAGACTTTCTATTATTGGATTGGTAGTGTTAGTGAATATTAATTTCCTGTATTTAGAATTTTCAAGGGACCATCCTTTTCTTAAATGTATCAATTCACAGATCTCTATAAAATGTTTTCTTCCTGATGTCAGCAGCTCTTAAGCAAATCTCACCTCCACAATGATAATATGTAATGCTGATAGTGGGTAGTATTATTGTATTCAATTTTAACTGAGCTCCACCGGAAAAAGAAAAACCATGGAAAATGATATGAGATTTCATATTTAATCTTCTGATAATAGATGCTGGCGGGCCTTTGCCATTAACATACTTAAAAAATGCAACATTGAAAAAGTAAGGTGATTCTTTTAATGTGTGAATATATTATTGAGCTGATGTTTAAAAAAAAAACTGTCCAAAAGCAAAATTCAGAAAAACATAAAAAAGCAAGATATTTAAATAAAAATCCAAAACCTAAATACAAAGAATATTTTGCATTAAACATTATCCCCTGTGTGGCAACAGGACGTTCGCTTAGATTGCATTTCTAAGAAAGCCAAACAGATGCCTTTGAAAGTGGTTTACAAAACATCCCTCTTTGATTCAAATGTCATTTGTCTCAATTGAGGCAGTTTAAATATGACTCTTTTATGGGCTACACTGTTTAACTTCATGAAGGATGTACGTAATACATAAACTGTATTTCTTTTATTGTTTTCTGTAACACCTAATTTTCACATTCTAGCTTTTTATATAATTTAGTTTGATGTTTTTTGGTTTTTTTTTTACTTTTTTTTTATTTCTCATGTTCAACTTTTCTTCTCTTTTTGTTTTAAAGTTACAGATGCCTTAGATCCAGTGGTCACAGGCCAGCTGGGCAAACCTGTGACTTTAACATGTGATTTGAACATGGAGTTTCAGAGCCAGGACTGGCTTCAATGGTACAAGCAGACTACAGGAGATACTCTCAAATTAATTTCAGTCCTGCAGAAGAATGCAAACCCTATTTATGGAGCTGGATTTTCACCCTTAAATTTCAACTCAGCATATGATAACAAAATGTTTAACCTGACGATCTTGAGGACTGCTAAAGAAGATAAAGGAATGTATCACTGTGTGCATATGAACCGGTATAAATCTATATGGAATGGGAGTTACTTATCATTAGAAGGTAATAATGGAAATAATTAACACTTATAACAGTTAACATAATAAAAAGCATTAAAATCTTCACTAGGTTTTGGCTGCTGTACCTGATATGATTAGTATAGGTATTTAAACAGCCATGTATAGAGGGCAGCCGTAGCACTTTGTTATCCTGCAGAACATTTTTGTTTAATCTCTTTAAATATGTAGACATATAATTTTAGAGCTTCTAAATTTATAGTTTTTATTGGGAGCTTACTGAAATAAATTAATAAGTTAGAATTCTCTAATGTGGAAATGTTAGTATGTTGTTGGGTTTTGGAATTTATCACAAATACATAGAAAATCATTTTTTTTCTCAATTTTTCCCCTGGTGTTATATTGGTGTAATTTAAAAAAACTAATTTTTTTTTTTTTTTTTTATAATTCTAAAATTCTTTGCCACAATAAAATAACGAGGACCTTCTCACCTAAAAGTAGGCAATGTTCCTCATCAAGAACCCAACATTTTATTTATTTTAAGGAATGATCTCAATTTAAAATTAGGTTATGAATATTAGCAATAACCTCTTGTATGTATTTCTTCTACTTAATTAAAAATAATCTAAAACAATGATAAAAACAATATTGTAATTATTATAGAATACTTTTTGTTGTTTAGGAAACACTGAGACAACATCAAGCTACCGTGTTGTTCAGCAGCCAGCTGTTCTAGATCCATCCCGTCCAGCAGACTCAGATACTCTGCAGTGTTCACTCCTTTCTCAGCCTGAGGAAAAGACCTGTTCAGGAGAACCCAGAGTGTTCTGGTTAAGGACCAAACTAGGCAAGTCTGTTCCAGATATCATCTTCACTGATGGAAAAACACCTGAAAATTGTGAGAAGCCATCAAACGCTGAGAGCAGATGTAGTTATAACTTCTCTAAGAAGGTTTCCGCTTCTGATCTTGGAACATATTACTGCGCAGTGGCCACATGTGGAGAGATATTACTTGGAGACGGAACCAGAGTTGAAATTAGTATGATTTCTTTCTATCATGTTCTTCACCAATATTTATCAATGATTATCTTTTTAACAGAAACAATTGCATCTTTTCTTCTTTTTTTCCCCCCAGCTCATTCATTAAGTGACATGTCTTTGGTAATAACAATGATCTGCTTGGCCATATCTGTGCTTTTGAATATTGGCTTAATTTGTTGCCAAACTCACAGAAGATCACTCAAAAACAGAAGTAAGTACTGATAAACTACAAACAAATATACAAAGAAAAGAGTAAAAGGTAGAATAATTTTAGAATCAAAATTCCTCTTTGAACCATGTGTTTAGAAAGATCTTCTTCACAGACACAACATAACCACACAAGGCAACCTGATGAGTTTGTGAGTAATTACAATAGTTGTCTTTGTTAATAAGAAATATATTAAACCCAAATGGATAAAACAAATAACTGAAATTAAAATGTTGGTATAACTTTTATGTTTTCACTCAGACAGAAGAAGGAGAGCATCTGACCTATGCTGCCTTACATTTCTCTACAGGGACGGAGAACAGGAGAGAGGTGAAGACTAAAGAAAGTGTGTATTCAAATGTCAGATTCAGTCATTTAGAATATACATCCTGATGAAGCTCCTTTGTCTGATTAAATATACCTTTAAAAACAACTTTTAAAACGGTAATTCAATATATTTATTTAACATCATATTTCTGTGCTTCAAATGTGTTTATTGGTCTGAAGTGATCTCAGTTTGTCATATCATCATTAAGTGGAAAAATGTCATGATTGTGATGTGTGGAAAAAAATCTATATTATGCATTTTTTTTTTGGTGAACTCAGTGAATAAAAAAAAGTATCTACATTGTTGGTCATTTTTTGTGTCAATGAAGCTCACATATATTAATGTACAAACATAAAATTCTTCAGATAAAAGTATCTAAAACTAAAATAATAATTCAACATCAATTTAAACCATCAGCTCCAGCCCCGGAGCTGATGACTTGGTCCAAAAGCCCGGTCCAGTCCACTCAGCGGCTGGCCCAGGGGCACTGTGCTGACAGCAGCTGCAGTTTAAAAAACAGCACTGGTTTTCTAAGAAGTTATTACAAGGTATGTTATTATTATTATTTTTATTATTATTATTTATAATTATTATTATTATTTATATATCTTTTTTTACAGTGTCCTGTCTGGCAATGTGGCTGTAAGAATAATTGCCTTTATGCCAAAAAGAGCCCAACAGATTTTACTTTCACAAGTGGAGCAGTAGGGCTATTGCCATAGTGTTCCGCTTGTTTCATGCATATAAATTGCTTTATTATAATTATGCAGGGAGTTTTACAGATTATATGGACGCTGCAATGCAAGTAGAACAGAAGAGAAAAAATAGAAAAAAAGGAGAAAAGATTAAAGAAAGAGGAGATAAAAGGGAGATAATGATAAAACATTTTCAGTGTGCTTCATCACCTGCAACGAGATGTAAAAAGAATAGCACAACCAACAGACATGGTACGACCTAGATACTATCGCTGAAGTAGTATTATTTAATCTAACATGTACTCTGTGTTACCTGAAGATAAGAATATGAGCTTTCTGGATGAAAGTGAATCACTGAGTACCTGGAACCAAGCACTTGTAATTGTTTGTGAAAGGGCACTTGTGCATATACAGTTTATCTAAAGAAAAAATGCTCGATAGTGGCTGTGGAGAGCCGAAGAGGCACCCTCCCACAGCACTGAGTCCAGCGCCGGGAGACCCAAAGCCCTAGATGCCCAAAGCCCTAGACGCCCAAAGGGACCCCAAGAGCGCAGGCACCAAGGAGCGGCCAGGCCAGGAAATCCGACCCCCACCAAGGGAGGAGGAGAGACAGCCCTGAGGAAGTCCCCCAGCCACCGCAATGCCGGAGCCCCCGGGAGCTGCGGGGGCCCCAGGTATCCGAGGCCCCATCCCCCGGCTAGAGCCCCAGCCAGGCCCCGGCCAGCCAGGCCCCACGGACAAGCGTCCAGGAATGAGCCAGTAGCCACCGGGGCATCCAACCCCAAAACCCGAGCTCCACCAGTGCACTGGCTATCCCAAGCGCCAGCCAGTGGAGGGAGAGCAGGATGGGGGGAATGGGCTCCGTACTTGGTGGAGACTTGAGATGTGCTCGGGAGAGGGAGCAGTTCAGACCCCAAACTGGGAGAGAAAAAAAACAAACAAAAAAAAACTCACAGTCTCAATCATGCCATCCCACCCTAGTGCAAACACTGACACCACACAAAAAAAAAAAAAAAATGCAGACACATTCACATATAACACTCACATCCAATAATACCAGGACCAAAGACCCGGCAGCATGGCCCAATAAGTAAACCTAAAATCTGGATGGGGGGGGAGGGGAGCAGTGACACCGCCGCACCAACCCATCTTGTTCATGCTTCAAGCCCGGCCCCCCACCCCACACACGGACCAGACCACCACCAGCAAAAGCTCCCCCGGGATCGGGGCCCACATGCCCCGCACAAGCCACCCAAGCAGAGATCCCCCACCCCCCCCAATTAATTCACCCAGCCACTACACGCCCCTCCTTCCAACCTTCTTTGGGGAGAGCAGAAGTGACAGACCTGCCACCGGCAGGCCACCCAGGCCCTGCAGCAGCCCCCTGCCACGACCAAGGACCGCTCTTCCGCCAGGCCCCAGACTCCGGGCAGCAGCCTGGGAACAGGGGTGTGAGAAGACTTTTTATATTATCCTTGTGGACTAAGATAGGAGGAAGTACAGGGATATTCTGATTTCACTATTATCTAATTTAATTTATCCTTATTTTAATGAAATAAATAAATAAATGAAACATCCAGAGTAGCGCTGTCTTGTGTCGTGGTAAGTTTTTATAAAATCTACAGTTTTCTAAAAGGTCTGAATTATTTAGCTGTTTTGTCAATTGTAACATAAAAAACTAAAAACATAATGAGTGAAGCTTTTTAATCATTAGCCTATTAGCAAATATTTATACCAGGGGCGGATCTAGAAAAATATTAATGGGGTGGCAAAGGAGGGGCAGCAGTTATTCTGGGGTGGCAACAGCAGTAGATGATAATGTATATATATATATATATATATATATATATATATATATA